GATCCTCCCAAGACCTTCTGCTCTCTAGTTCCCGTGTCACCTCCTCCCATGCTTGCCTCCAGGACTTCTCCCGAGTTCTCCCATCCTATGGAACTCACTACCCCAATATGTCTGGGTATCTCCTAATCTATCCACCTTTAGACAATCCCTGAAAACCTTTCTCTTTAAAGAAGCCTATCCTGCTTCTACCTAGTAAACTGCCTTTTATTTCCTCTATCAGCTCATCCCCCACAGCTATTACCTTTTGTATCACTCAACCCTTCCTCCTAGATTGTAAGCTCTAACAAGCAGAGCCCTCTGTTTCCTCTTGTACCAAATTGTATTGTAACTGTAATGTCTACCTTCAGTTTATAAAGCGCTGCACAAACTGTTGGTGCTACATAAATCCTGTATAATAATAATAATTTATGAAATCAGGAAAACCCAAATTTTAAGTCAAAGGATCATGCTTTGCTCACTCAGCCACCAGGGGCAGCATTAATCAAGCTTTGGTTTATCATTTTCTCCATTAAGAATTCACATGTGTAGTATATTCCTTATAGTTTATTACAAATGTAATTTCTTGGAGGGATATTGTTTACCCAGAATGAATGCCAGACATATTTTATTATGATGAAATAGCAATATGAATTCTATTTAATACTTCTCTTCTAGCTGAAAAGTTTAAATAATATCCTTTATTAGCTAATTTAAAGCTGAACTTCACTTTCCCAATCCATATTGACTATTTTTAATCCGTATGCTGCTAGCATTAGTAAATAGATAGGAAGGTATGTTATATTTACTTATTTTAAAAAATGTTTTCACATTTCTTCAGTTACTTTATGGTTTCCATCCATAGGTAAATGATGTCATACATCTCAGGAGTCTTCAGGGAGGGAGGAGGGGTTTTCTCAGCTAAGAACGCCCTCCTGCCTACATGCTTGAGCTAAGGGTAGATGGAGTCCAGGAAGTAAATGCTACATGATTCATCTACCCTCCCTCAAAATGACCTCAACTAGAAATGCTAAGGGAGGGCTATTTTTCAAAGTTATTCCTTAGCAAAATAAAGCATGAAGACGTGGATGGATGGGGGAGTTTGCTTTGAATATTAAAAATCAATTAAGTAGTGCTTTTGGTTTGTGGTGCTCAGATACAGTGTAGTTCCATTTTAAAGTGGAAGTTTATTCTAAAAAGAAAAAAAAATGCAAGCAGGCGGGTTTTTTAATGCATAAGAGGTATACTGAGTATAAGAGTGGAATTTATAAAGAGTGTTTAAAACACAAAAACTAAAATAGTGTATTATCCTCAGTGCAACCATACTTACAACCATATATACATATGTGAAAAATTGGGAAAAACACAATATTAACACTGCGTGAGAACACTCCAACATAAACACTACTCCGTGTCAGGGGCGGACTGACCATTCGGAAACTCAGGCACTGCCGAGGGCCCGGGGTCAGTAGGGGGCCCCATGAGATGCCCCTGGTACCTTTTTCATAGGCTTTTTTGAGTTTGGGCAAGGACACAGGAGCCCCATGATCCCCTATTGCCTGGGGGCCCCATGAACTGTCAGTCCACCCCTGCTCCGTGTTTAAAACACCCCTTAGAATTCTGACGTGCTTCTACACAACAAATGTTGGTTCAGGGGACAGATTCATGTGGATGTTGTAGACAGGTACATGAATCTGCAAGCACACGGAGACTGGAGTGTCCATACAGATGCTCCACCTCTGTTCTACTAGGTTCCCCCCCCACCGCTGCAGATGATGGGATTTACAGGTACTAGTTTCCCATCAGCTCTGTTGCCCTGGTGGATGACAGCAGGCAGTGGGCTGGCCCTTAGCCCTGGCTATAGAATCTGTCCACTGCCTGCTGTCAGTTATAAAGCAAGAGCGGACCTGATGAGGAACTAGTGGCTCAGGTTCCCCATAAGGTGTTACTCACTCTAGGGTCACTGACTGTTAGGAGGCTGTCAGCTGTGAAGCCTGTAGTAGTGAAAAGGAGAGAAAGAAAGCACCACTAAGTGCAATACCACTGATTTTCTTGTGAATACGATTATTAAAAACACTCCCGAATGTAATAAAGAAGCAGGCTCATCTATAATGAAATAATGATACAAACAGAACATCCATCACTCAGTAGGATCCAACTTAGCCCACACTGTCCCACAACATGAGGCTGGATGGTGAGCAAGATAGCTCCCGGAGTTTTGGAACCAACATGGACCGCACCATAGGCAGGATGATGTCACACAGCTGGGGGGCGGTAACCGTTTAGGAGCATGTGGTCCTCTGTCAAACCGGTCTAGTTTTACTCTCCTGAAAGCAGCCCTAGTGCCTGGATTATCTTTTCTTAAAAGAACTGTAAAATTGGACTCTTTACTGACGACTTTCCAGAGAGGTTAACTACTTCCAGTGCACACATTTACTTGTCCAGCTGTGAAACCTGAGCAAGAAGGAGCCATAGCACCAGAAAACTGCTTTATTGATGTAGCACCCTCTAGTGTGCTACTAGAATATTGTAGTGTATTGCAGGTAAAATCACTTTGTAGGACTCGTGGTAACTGTGTGAGTCTGTGATTGAGGTTGGGTTACTGCAGGTCAGCTGGATGACTTAACAGGTTGTGGCTCTATTGCCTCCTCTTGACTCTGGAGGACCATGGACCCTTCCAGAAGTCGGTAAGCAGGAAGGGGTTGAGACCTAATCTGCATGTTTATGGGATTCTGGCCAATCCCAGGTTTGGAGGCCCTGGTGGAGTGGTGGACTTGCCCATAAATAGGGGAGAGTTAGGCTGACAGAGGGGTCAGGTGGAAGATGGAGTGCTGAGTAGACTGTTGGTGCCTGGGAGGGGTCCCCTAGGTCTGGAAGGGCAGGCTTCCAGGCTGGGCTCAGGCTGGCTCAGAAGGATACTTTAACAGTGAGGCATGAATGGGATCGGGACCTGGAGCAGTGGGAGCAAAGAGGACAGAGTGCGTACATCAGCATTCCCTGAGATCCACAAGGGGAGAGACTGCCACATGAAGCAAGCTTTCAAAGGACAGCGCTGGGCTCAATTCTTTATCCTTGTCCCGGGAGATCTGAGCAGCCAGGAGGGCTGGTAGTGTCTGCAGGCTGTGGAGCTTGGAGCACCTCTACAGGGGGAGAGGGAAGACATATCTGCATGTATTTACAAGAAGCAAAGCTGATTTTTGAGGGGCTGCTAGTTCCTCGCCCATAAAGGGCTGTTCCTACTGATCTGCAAAGACTGACGGCTTTCAAGGAAAAGAACAGTCCCAGGATCTGTTTCTGTACATAGGAAGGAAGTTGTCCCCCCTTCACTGACTCAAGCCAAACTGGGCATCCCATAATCCCTATTTCCCTATCCAAGTTATTTTCCCTAATAAAATAACAAAACCAAGCTCACGGACTGGTTACCATCTCCTGAATGCAGGTCTGTGTGAAAAATACCTGTTGCCTGGCTGTGCAGAGCTAAGGGGTATCCACAACACAGCGGCCTTCACATAGTTAGCGCTACATTGAATTCTCCCTAGTATGTCTCTTCTGCATTCAAGTTACCTGCCTGTCCACACTGTGCACTGATCTACACACGTACATCTGTCAAGATGAAGGTACTCCCGCGCATGTACAGGAGTGACATCATCTTTGTCCAGCCAATCAATATGATGTAGGATCAGAACCAAGAAGTCCGAAAGAAGATGTCAGTGGCCTTGAAGGACTGCATCAGTGGAGATGGAGATTTAGTTCCACTTTAAAGTGTTACTTCACCTTTACAGAAAATAGGTAAACGACCACCATACACCCTCTCCACCGCTCGATCCCTGTTATACTTACCTCCATGGAGGATGAGCTGTCAGTGCCCATGCAGCCTGTCCAATGGTTCAGGGAAATCCCAGCTCTTCTCCCTCTTCTGTTTGCAGTGCTTCTGGTACGGACTAGAGTGATTCTAACTGGTTCATGCCTACACAGTGATTTGCTCTGGTCTGTCCTGGATGGTGCTGCATGGAGAAAAGGGAGAAGAGTAGGGATTTTACATCTCCGGTCCGCTGGACCAGCTCTATGGTCACTGACAGCTCAGCTCACCTGTTCATTTTTTTTCTGAAAAGGTAAGCTAATCATTTATAGTGGTATTGAACCAAAAAGCAAACTTTTTTTTTTTATATTGCAGCTTACATATTCTTAGATGTGATGGCTGCATTTGTTTTCTTTTTTTCTTTTATTTTCATCTACTGATTTAGCCAGTATGTTTGTTCTCTTTCAGAAGAACGAGCTCTCTAGCAGAATGTATCAGTTACAGGGATGAGAGAGACCATTTAACACTAGCAGGAGTACTTACAATGATCAGCTTACATTTATTTATGTAAAATCTTTATCCCAGAAGAAAAAAAACACTGTTTGCAGTAACTGCATATAGAGTGTGAGCTGGAGTTTGAGTTCAATTTGTTGGTTTAGTTAAATCTGCTAGTACACCTAACGCTCCCCTCCCCCCAGATTAACAATGCTGCTGTCCAAAAATGCCCCTGTGCCCCCGTGAGACTTTTAAATTGCTGCCTGTCCCAGGATGGGGTTGTTGCAGCCAACCCAGCGCATAGCTAAAGGCCTGTGTGCGCTCATTGGCTAGACTAGGCTGACCACTGGATCTAGATTATTCAGACCATCGCCCAGCCCGGCTGTTGATGGAATATCTCCACAGGAAAAAAACTCCAGGGGAAAAGGAAAAAAGCTATAGGACCACAACTTCCAGCAGGGAACTAGATCCTTACTCCTAAAATTCTAGGCAGAAAAAACTGGCTTGCCTATAGCAGAGAGAGGGTTTTATACCAGCTAGGACTGCCCATAGGCGATGCTGTGTTCTTTTTTGCCTAGTGTCTTACTCCTGTAGGCGGCGCTATAAACCCTATGATCATGAATCAATAGAGCAGTGTACATCAATGAACATAGGAGAAAAAGTGTTGCTTTAATTGATTATAAAGTATTAGCTGGAGTTTGGCTTCAATTTGTTATTTTATTCAAATCTGGTAGCCTCCCTGGCGGTATTCCCGAGTGTAGCTCGGGGTAAAGTTTCAGTACCACAAGTGGTAGCGGTAACCCCGAGCTACACTCGGGCTTACCATGCGGCGCTGCTCCGGGATCTGTTCTTCTCTTACCTTGTCCTGCGCTCCCGCAATGTCCCCTCCTGCAGTGTCCCCTGAAATGTCCTCCGGCGGATGCCGGCATCTGTCTTCTGGGTTCCGTCCCCTGCGACGTCGGGACGTACGGGGGACAGAACAGCGGGGAATTTGAAAATGACAAAAAGTGACATTCACTAAAATCACATAGTAAAACATTACTGTACCAAACCATTTCACATACATTTTGTCCCTACTGCTTTGTCCTGTGCCCTGCCTGCATTTTTACTGTTCTTTCTGCCTGGAAACTGAGAAACGTCCATGGCGTCCAAAAAGCATCCCTTTAGGTCAAAAGCGGTTTTAGACCAGCTAGAGAACAGCGATAGTAAATTAGAACTATTTGCAGAATTGAGTGTTAATGATTCGTGAGGAAATTCGTCATCAGACACTGAAAACGATTTTGCGACTTTGCTCAGCGATGTGCGAACTTGGCGCTATATTTCAAACTTCAGTGGTTTTGGTTTGATTATATTATTGAATTAAATTTATTATTATTATATTATTATTTTTTATGATTATTTATTAAATTATAATTTATTATTTCGTGCTTCAAATTTAAACATACCCGGGATGTTTACTAGACTCTTGTTCGGACAGATTTCAGTGAGTTATTCCTAAAAATTGCAGGCCTACAATAAAAAAAATACATATTTCCATGCAAAAAAATGTACCACTTTCAGCACAGAATAGGACATAATCAGGTCCGCTAGGGAGGTTAATACATTTACCACTCCCTTCTCCCCCAGACTGTCAATGCTGCCGCCCGCTGTGCCTCCTGTGCTCCTTTATCCAGAGGGCGGGCACTCTAACACAGGAGGTGTGTTACTGCAATGATCACCAGGTGAAAAAAAGCCTAAGAAAAGAATACTGATGCAGCCACCACATATAATGATTGGTAAATCTGCAATATATTACATGTTTGGTTTTGGGTTTAATATCGCAGTATGGTACTGTATTAAAGTGGAAGTTTAAGAAAAGATGAATGCTTTCTGGATAACTTCAATTTCTTCTTCAGGCTTTATACTTTTTATAGAAATGGTGCTGAAACTCATATAATTATGAACAGAGCTATAAGGCACAATTAAATATAAAATATATTGTGAAGAGTTAGGCTATAGAGAAGGCAATTTGGTGTAGAAGTGTTATTGGGGTAACTGACTCAAAGATAAGAAGTCCAGGCACAATCCTCACCTCTTATGAGAGTCCTTTTGAAACATTCACATGCCAGCAAAGCAATGAAATACAACCATTAATGACATGCAATTATTTTTTGTGACATGCTTGAATAATAAGGATAATATATTTTCAAAGTGTTAGTGGGCTAATTGGCTAGAAGATGAGAAGTCCAGGGAAACATGTCACCACAATGAGACGGAGAGTCCTTTTCAAATGCCTGTCTGCTTTTGATCAAAGGCTTGAGGAAAGATGGGCTTTATTGTCAGAGGCACCACATTTTAACAGAGATCAAAAATGTAATTAAAATCATAGTGGCACATACAATTCCTGTTCCTATTTGGACCACAGTTTAGAGGTTTGCATTTTTGTATGAATTTACGTTCCATCTTTCTGTGATTTGAAGTTTCCCATCAGCAGGGCCAGTGCTAGACTGTTTTGCTCCCTAGGCAAGACCAACTACTTGCACCCCGCTGAAAAATAAATAAAACTTTTGTACCTCTAAAATGTACATTCTATACCTCTATACCCCCATGTGATGTGTGTTGCCCCCTCATTGAACTGACCTGAGCCACCTTGCTGACACAGTGAGCAGCACATGGCTGGAGTTCCCGGTCTGTCCATCCCTGCTCAGTCCCGCCGCCCTGCTCAGTACTTCCGTGGTTCTACCTGGAAGCAGAGTTTGTCTACCTGCTCCCACAGCCTCTGGTTCTTGCACTGCAGGTCAATGATAGATTGGGATAGGGGCTCCGCCAGGCGCAGCACAGTCCTCCATTTGCCTCTCTACCCCACACCTGAACTCCTCCATCACAGCTTGCAGCTCCTGCCTGTTAGTGCCTATCTGTGCAGCCTATCAGTGCTCATCATTGCCACCTATCAGTGCCCATCAGTGCTGCATATCAGTGCAGCCTCTTCAGTGCCTCCTCATCAATGTCCACCAGTGCCACCTCATCAGTGCCACCTCGTCTGTGCCCATCAGTGAAGCCTATTATTGCCCATCAGTGCTGCCTATCAGTGCCACCTCATCAGTGCTCATCAATGCAGCCTATCAGTGCCCATCAGTGCTGCCTATCAGTGCCCATCAGTGCAGCCTCATCAGTGCACACCAGCGAAGGAGAAAAATGACCTGTTCGCAAAATTTTATGATAGAAACTAGAGATGAGCGAATCGAACCAGGCGAACCGGAATTCGATACGAATTTCAGGAAAAATTCGATTGCGTCCAATCCGAATATTTGCCTACTTCGGGTGAGCGAATCGGATTTTTCCCGATCAGCCGGCAAAAGTGTCCCTGCAGAGAGCTCCGCTATTTCTGACATTTCTCTGACAGTTCCTTCACATGTACAGCGGTTGAAACATTGTATCTATTAGTTTCCATTTAGGATACAGATGTTTCAACCGCTGTACATGTGAAGAAGCTGTCAGAGAACTGTCAGAAATAGAGGAACTCTGCACATACACTTTTTGCCGGTTTGGAATTCTTATTTTCATTAAGAAGAATTCTCCAAGCCGGCAAAAAGTGTATCTGCAGAGCTCCTCTATTCTGCAGATAACTTTAGAGGAGCTCTGCTGCTTAGATACACTTTTTGCCGGCTTGGAATTAATCTTATTTTCATCCTCTTCTTCTTCTTCTTCTTCTTCTTCTTCCTATTCTTCTTCCTCATCCTCAGAAGAAGAAGAAGAGGATGAGGATGAGGATGATGAAGAAGAAGAAAGAAGAAGTAGGATGAAAATAAGAATAATTCCAAGCCGGCAAAAAGTGTATCTGCAGAGCTCCTCTATTCTGCAGATACACTTAGAGGAGCTCTGCAGATACACTTTTTGCCGGCTTGGAATTATTTTTTATTTTCATCCTACTTCTTCTTCTTCTTAAGCCGGCAAAAAGTGTATCTGCAGAGCTCCTCTATTCTGCAGATACTGCTTAGAGGAGCTCTGATACACTTAGAGGAGCTCTGCAGATACACTTTTTGCCGGCTTGGAATTCTTCTTATTTTCATCCTACTCTTCTTCTTCTTCTTCTTCTTCATCCTCATCCTCAGAAGAAGAAGAAGAAGAGATGAGGATGAGGATGAAGAAGAGAAGAAGAAGTAGGATGAAAATAAGAAGAATTCCAAGCCGGCAAAAAGTGTATCTGCAGAGCTCCTCTATTCTGCAGAGACACTTAGAGGAGATCTGCAGATACACTTAGAGGAGCTCTGCAGATACACTTTTTGCCGGCTTGGAATTATTCTTATTTTCATTCTACTTCTTCTTCTTCTTCTTCTTCATCCTCATCCTCATCCTAGAAGAAGAAGAAGAGGATGAGGATGAAGAAGAAGAAGAACGTAGGATGAAATAAGAAGAATTCCAAGCCGGCAAAAAGTGTATCTGCAGAGCTCCTCTTATTCTGCAGATACACTTAGAGGAGCTCTGCAGATACTTTTTTTTTGCCGGCTTGGAATTCTCTTTTTCGGCTTGGAGATTATCCTTATTTTTCTTCCTTCTTCTTCTTCTTTAAGAAGAAGCGGGGCATGAAAATCAAAGAATCCTCCAAGCCGGCAAAATCTTCATGTAGCAGCTGCAGAGCCTCCTCTATTCTTCTATTCTCATACACTTAGAGGAGCTCTGCAGATCTCTTTTTAGAGGAGCTTTCAGACATCCTTTGCGATCTTGGAATGTGAATTTATTTTCATCCTACTTCTTCTTCTTTTCTTCTTCATCTCCTCATCCCTCCCTCAGAAGTTCTTGTGAAGAGGATGAGAATCTATGAGGAGATGAGACTACCTTCTCCTTCTTAGCTGAGAAGTAGGATGAACATAGATATAATTCCAAGCCGGATGAAAAAGTGTATCTGCAGAGATTTCCTATCTCTGCTTACACAGTTCTGGGACACTCACACTGGTTGAAACCGCTGTATGGAGTGAATGTCCCAGAACTGTCAGAAATAGGCTATTTCTGACAGTTCTGGGACTCACTCCATACAGCGGTTTGAAACATCACTGTATCTATTTGTTTCCATAAATGGATCCATTTATGGAAACAAATAGATATATATGTTTTAAACCGCTGTATGGAGTGAATGTCCAGAACTGTCAGAAATAGGCTATTTTTGAATAGTTCTGTGACATTCACTCCACACAGCGGTTTAAAACCGCTGTATGGAGTGAATGTCTCCAGAACTGTCAGAAATAGCCTATTTCTGACAGTTCTGGGACATTCATTTCACTCCATACAGCTTTTGAAACCGCTGTATGGAGTGAATGTCACAGAACTGTCAGAATTAGCCTATTTCTGACAGTTCTGTGACATTCACTCCATACAGCGGTTGAAACATTGTATCTATTTGTTTCCATAAATGGATCCATTTATGGAAACAAATAGATACAATGTTTCAACCGCTGTATCCTGTGAATGTCACAGAACTGTCAGAAATAGACAGAAACTGTCACAGAACTGTCCTTCTCTTCTCATCCTTCTCCTTCTTCTCATCCTTCTTCTCATCCTTCTCCTTCTCTCATCCTTCTCCTTCTTCTCATCCTTTCCTTCTCCTTCTTCTCATCCTTCTCCTTCTTCTCATCCTTCTCTTCTTCTCATCCTTCTCCTTCTTCTCATCCCTCTTCTCATCCTTCTCCTTCTCCTTCTTCTCATCCTTCTCCTTCTTCTCATCCTTCTCCTTCTTCTCATCCTTCTCCTTCTTCTCATCCTTCATCCTTCTCCTTCTTCTTCTCATCCTTCTCCTTCTCCTTCTTCTCATCCTTCTCCTTCTTCTTCATCTCCTTCTCCTTCTCCTTCTTCTCATCCTTTCTTCCTCATCTTCTCCTTCTTCTCATCCTTCTCCTTCTCCTTCTTCTCATCCTTCTCTTCTTCTCCTTCTTCTCATCCTTCTCCTTCTTTCTCATCCTTCTCCTTCTCCTTCTTCTTATCCTTCTCCTTCTTCTCATCCTTCTCCTTCTTCTCATCCTTCTCCTTCTCCATCTTCTCATCCTTCTCCTTCTCCTTCTTCTCATCCTTCTCCTTCTTCTCATCCTTCTCCTT